AAACCTTAAATGTGGCCTTACTTCCGCCGCTTGAGAGTCTTTATAGCCATTTCTATCAGACCTTCCTTTGCTTCGCTCTCTGGGAAGTATTCTATCGCTGCAATGGCCCTGTTGATGTATTCTTCCGCGAGGGCTCGTGTTTGCTCTAGACCGTCACTTTGAAGGACCAATTCCCTTGCCTGTCGTGTTGTTAGTAAACGGTCATTATTTGGGCAGGTAAGGCCTTACTCTGCTAACATCTCCTCCCTGACTGAACTTTCTCCCTACTAGGTTGCCCAGTTCCTTATTATTCTTCCATGCGAACAATAACGGTGCAGTTGCAAGACCCAATTCTAGGTCTGCACCCGCAGGCTTCCCTAACTCTGCTTCGCTGACAGTATAATCTAACATATCATCCACCAATTGAAATGCCAAACCCAAATTCTTCCCATAAGAGTATGCAGCTTCAACAGTCCCAGCATCTGAATCACCTAATAATGCTGTCGCACGACATGATTTCGATATTAAACTTGCAGACTTCAAATATGTTTTCTGCAAATAGTAGCTGATTGTTTCCTCCGTCCACTTTGGATTCTTTTCATCCGATGAGGTATTCTTCAATTGCATGAATTCTCCCTCGACCAAATTCGCAATCACGGTAGCTAGAAGCTCCGTCACTTCAGCGTCCCGAAGGCGTGCTAGGCCAACAGATGCACGACTAAGCAAAAAGTCCCCTGCCAATACTGCCATTTTGTTTCCAAATTCTAGATTTGCTGAGGTATTTCCGCGCCTCGAAGTTGAGTGATCGATGACATCGTCATGAAGAAGTGAGGCTGTATGTATGAGCTCGGTGATTTCAGCCAGCCGGCGCTGAGAGGGTAATATATCGCTGTCCGCTGCCGAATAACTAGATTGCTTGCTCGCTAGCGGGTTTAGTGTGGGTGAGTCAGGATTGACGTCTGAAAGAATTGAATTCGGAGATATAGGAGCATCGATATCAATCGGGTTATGTTGACCGTTATATCTGGGGTGTTTAGGGGCTAGTGCTGTCGCTCGAGACATAAGAAGAACGATCATAGGTCGCACATGTTTTCCTTCTCCCTGTGTATAATATTTTGCAACTGTGTCTAGAGATGGATGCCCAGAGCCCAGAAGTTGTCGTATGTTACCAGTCAGGAACTTCATCTCTTTCGCAACCATTCTTAGAGGATCTATCGTGATATTGCCGTTGCTTGCTGCTTTGGAAGTGGCATTTGAGAAGACATTGGATGCGACCGAAACAGCTTGAGCCCATGTTGATTGGCACCTTCGAGCAGAATATTGGTGTCTGGAGCTCGCATGGGGTAGGGTCGTATACCTTATTGCCAATTGACATCTTGAACACGTCGGAAAGAGCTGAGAACTGGTGGGATTTGAGGCATTGAGGAGCAGCGAAGCCCTCAACGACTGGGACCTCATGTCACTTCAAATCCGAGGATTGATAACAAAAGAACCTTTTAGAAATATGAATGTAACATCGAGTTCAGGATGTAAGAACAAGCGCGAAGAAAGAGGATTTATCCGATCTTCTGGGCACAATAGTTTAGATATTTGGTCATAAACCAAAATATTGATGCCGTAGATTTCCGACTGATAAATTATCCTAGTCGATATTCGGCTGGAACAACGTTATGCCGAAGGCAGCTATGTCGAAGCTTAAGCTTCCTTCAGTTATTGAGCACGCCTACTTGTCCTCCCTCTTTCATGTCATGACGTGAACATATTTGAGGACATGGTGCTTCTTACGATAACGCCAACGATACTACAGGCTCTGACGAAGCTCCAGAGTCTGCCTGAAAAACCTAGTGTAGAATTAGTTGCCAAACTTTCAGGCACGGCGCAACTCCCACGTACGACGAACGAGAAAGAAGTGGCTTCCGCAGAAGACTACCATGGAAAGGATTCTGCCGATGCCACAATTGATAATGAACAATCACGAGATCGGGATGTGTCGGGGAAGAGGCGGCTCACCAAACAGTCAGCAGTTGAGCCATCTTTATCAGACCCCAAATTAGGCAATCCGATATCTCACGGCCAAATTATAGATTTATCGAAGGCACTTAAATGTCTGGAGGCGAAGCCAAACGCTCTAGATACCTTATTGCGTGGATCTAAAGTCTATGTTCCTCCTCCAAAGCCAAAACCAGAGCCGGTACATATATACCATCCAATTTGCGACTATTTGCTAACGATAATCTAGACAGCAGAATACAAAGCTCTGATGGCACGCCTCCGCCATGAAGAAGACGAGCGATCCTACCAACGGATGATCAATCCTCCAACTCCCATGGAAACTTTCGCCGAGCGCTTCCCCCTCTCCTCCGCAGCACATGCGTTTGCTTCTGCTCCAAGACCCTTGGATAACGAAGTGGATGATGAGATAACATACTCGGATGTAGATCGGCAGATAGCACTCATTTTTAACGTCTTAATAAGTGTATTTGCGTGCGCAGCTGCCATATGGATAGTGGCAAAGTGGTGGAGCACACCGATGCGGCTAGCACTGAGCTTCAGTGGCAGCATGTTAGTTGGAATCGCCGAGGTTGTGGTATATTTGGGGTATGTTCGGAGGGTTGGTGAAGCGAAGGGCAAGGAGAAGGCTATAAAAGAAGTCAAGGAGGTCGTGAGAACCTGGGTGGTTGGATGTACCGAAGAAGATGCACCGATCAAGGTTGAGGAAGAATCATCCTCGAACGTTCGAAGGCGTAAGATGGAAGCTGGGTAAAGTCGAAGCTATAATAATGAAATATGCTCATAAGACCCAACCATATCGATCGTCCTCTAATTATCTCATTAATTCCTTATTATCCGAGACATGAGTTCCCTGTCAACCAACTTTAATGCGCTTGTTCCGAATCGTAAACTGCTTTGCTATTTGATTTTCACGCTTTTGGACCCTTTTTATTGATTAACTAAATAATTCGTAGCAGTAGAAATGAATACTCCAGATTTGAGTGACTCGGTTCCCACTGCTCATGTAATCCTTCAACGCTCATACCTCGTTACTTACTAATGCGGAATAAGCTTAATTCTAGGTCATCAACGCACATACATCTGAAGGCAATAAAAATTTGCAAATTTTATGGATATATTGACGCCACAGGTCAATACTAGAGTAGAATTGCTTCTTCGAGAAGCCTAAATGTTGTCTTCGCTGGTTGCGTAATTAAGCTGATGGATTCCAGGTTATTATAGGTTTGTGCTTTGAAGAACTTCGTGAGAACAGAGCCGCCCGGAGATCAGTACTCGAGCTTTTCTGTGGCCCCCTGTGGTACTTATCTGTTTTCGAACAGGGTCTTAAAAGGATCCCAAAATCTGGCACTAGAGTTCACAACAGCCAGATATCTTTGAAGGATGAAAGGTACTTGATTGCTTGCTAACTCCAGTTTTATGTTTTTGTATGTCCCAAGCTAAAGCCGAATATACAGATCCAATAATTCCAAAATTTCCCATACAAAATACACCATCCCGATGCAGTGGTTCCCAAAACGCCATTAGCCATACTCCGCAGCCAAACTCCTAGCCGCTATGCTTCAAATTCATTGCTTATGATGGATCGCTTACTCGAGATCGACCTCAACGGAGTGAGTATTGGTTCCGTTCTTCTTCTTCTTCTTGGCCTCCTCCTTCTCGGCCTTCTTTCTCGCAGCCTCCTCAGCCTTCTTGCGCTTAGCATCTCCAACCGGGTCCTTGCTCTTCTTTTCTTCAGCAGGCACGGGAGCGACTTCAGCTCTGTCGGGAATACCCTGAGTGAAGCGCTCTGGGCCATCAATACCATAAGCATGGATCTTGGCTGACTCATTGCCCGCTTCACCCTCCGCGCACTTGCCATTTGGTGTGATCTGGAGATGATTAACACTTTCACCGTTAGATGGGTGGAAACCACCCGTCACGGTTCCGCCCGCCTTGCAGTCAAAGTGCTTCAAAGCTTTCTCGGCGAGGTCTTCATATTGTGCGTAGCGCGGGTCGGATGGCTTGATCTTGTCCTGGTATCCCGGCCGACTGGCAAAGGTTACTGTGTAGTCATTCTTTCCGCGGGCTTTGATGCTGCTGGATTCATATTCTGTGGGGATGGCGAACGCTCCTGAGATCAGGGATGCTGCGAAGAGAATGCCGGATGCTGAGAACTTCATTTTGAATGGAAGATTGTGTTATGGGGGGACGAGAAAAGGCGAAAAGCTGGAAACTGGAAAGTGTTATGAGACTGTTGTGGAGATGAGAAGATGATGTGTTTGATGCCGTTCTTTGAGCAGCTGTGAGCCATCTTTATATACGCCATCATCTTCATACGTCGTATATTTTTGGATATCTCAGGATTCTGATAGCTTGGGGATTACTGTTCTTGGAGACATAGGAAGGGTTGAGCCTCTACAGAGCGCCGAAGAATAGAAACTCAAGGAGTTCTGTAGGGCACCTGACGCTCAGCCCTAAAGCTGGGATGCCAAACGGTCATTGTCCAATCGGTGAAGCTCCAGCGACCGAAGGATGCCAGGCCAGGCAATCTCCTGTCTTTGCGATAGCCCACAGAGATATCAGACGCATAGATACAGCCCATGCCTTCCGCCCCGATATAGTGGGTCATATCGCGCTTACAATGCACTGCCGCGATGGCGCAATCCTGAAACTTTTACTTTGAAGTTCCAGCTCGGCTATTACTCCGAAGTATATACCATTATGTCATCTTGAGTTAAAAGAATGCGCAATAACAGCAGCAAAAGAAAATGCGAGGAGATATATGTTTCAATTGAAGGAACAGAAGAAGAATCGCGTGGCATAAATGTTTCGTTATAAATTGGGGTCTTAAAAGACCTTAACAAGAATAATAACTGCAAGGTTCCACATAACACGCGAGCAGATGTATCAGGCAGCAAAAAAGCACGTATCTTAACTGCTCATAGTCCAATGCCAAAAAAGTTGAGATATTACTAGCAAAGAAAGCAAAAAGTTTTTTAGAGAGCAACTGCTCACTGCGGAGGGAATTGAGCCCAACGCGGGGGTCGAACCCGCAACCTTGAGATTAAGAGTCTCACGCTCTACCGATTGAGCTAGCCGGGCAGAGAGGTTGCTTGTTAATTGAGATGCGTTGTGCTTATTGGAATTTATAGAGCATGACAGACGAAAATATGAACTCTTGGCGCGGACGCTAGCGCGGCCAAAACCTCACCCGTCTCTTTAGTAAAAATTTTTTACAACCAGTCAGTCCTGCTTTAAGCGCATGAAATTTCTCAAGATATGGGATTCTAATATCAGTGTCGACTATATTAACACAGCTGGGAAACAGACAATCCGAATACCTCGATCATGAATGAGTTCGGGTGCGTTCTCTTCCTTGTATGAAGCTTATGGCGCATACAGTCCGAACCTGTACAGATTTTATGGTATTGAAGGCCATAGATTTGTTCTGCAGTATGCAGATCTTGAGGAGATGGTCTTTATATTCAACAGCAATTTATCTGGGTTTTCTATTTGATAGAAGCCTCATTCGTTATACGAACCACTCTATCTATCTGACCTTCTAAAGTTCAGAGAATTGCTTCACTCAGCGGTCCTTATTGTATCAGCTAGCTACGAGCCTATTCCTTTTCAATGCGTTCCAATCTTATACCCTGAACCGGTCAAATGATTCTAATGACTAAACGCACGGCCGTCCTACTTGGTGAAGCCCAACGGCAAATTCATTGTTGGTGCATTTCGTCTATATAGAAGTCGCATTCAAGCACCTTTCCCCATAGCCCAAAAAGTCCTCATACTCCTCACCAAGAGCCTCGCTTCGCAGATCTTCCCAAGTGGTGATCACGTGTCTCGAGAGTTAGGAGTTCACTTGGTGGAGCATGACATTCCTGAGTTCACGCCCTATTGAGTACAATAGTGGAGCAGTTACAAAATTTGAAAGCACAACACCTGATTGCATAAATACCAGTATATAGAAACTCCAGAGGAAGCGAAAATGGACATGAATTCGCATTAATTTATGCACAAGTAAAAACTTTGGCCAGAAGTAGCGTCGACCCCGCTCGCTGAAATATGACTCAGAATGCAAGTCAAATCGATTTAAAACACCAAAAGAAATCCGAGCTCACTGGATACTGATTCAAATCATCGCTTAGCTCAAGGGAATCTCCCCAACAGGCATCGATAAATTTATTCCGGATAAGAACTTGTCAATTTCCTTTTTAAATTCGACTTTCTGAACTCGAATCGTTCCGGCGTCAAGGTCATCATGAAGCTTGATTTCACAACACTTGACGTGTTCACCACTACACGTTACAATGGTAATCCCTTGGCTGTTATAAAAGTTCCAGCAGTTGAAAGGTCCAGTAAGTCTTTTCGTTTGAGAGCTCACTAGGCTTCTTCATGTTCGCGATTCGTATTGAATTCAGATTGACTTTTCAAAGATTTGACGCAAGAACAAAAGCAGAAGGTGGCTCAGGAGTTCAATCTCTCCGAGATTGTATTTCTTCATCAACCAGCTGAAGGAGGCTCTTACAATGACGTAACCATTGATATTTTTACATCCTATGCGGAAGTACCGTTTGCTGGGCACCCGACCATCGGGTCTTCTCATTTTTTGTTGAATGAGCTGGATAAAGATACTGAAGCAGTCATCACCAAAGCCGGCCGCATCCCAATCTCAAAGGATCCCACTACCGGCCAAGTGCAGGCTGTGGTCCCCCAGACCTTCCATATTCACAAGGTGACCTACGAAAGCTCCTTAGCGGCAACTCCTGCCGAGACGACTAGCATTGTTAAAGGCATGTCTTTCATCTTCAGTCGCCTGCCAGATCTGGAGACACTTAAGAAAGCAACAGAGAATCTGAATGTAGTCAAACATGGTACCAATGGCACCTATGAAGCAGGTGATCTTGATGAAGGATGGCAGGTAGGCTTGGTTGGTACCATGTATTTCGTGGATCAAGGTGTGGATGAGTTTGGGAGGAAACAGTACCGCACACGAATGTGGGCATCAAGAGAAGACCCAGGAACCGGGAGCGCATCTTCTGCTTTGGGATGTTATCTAGCAACTCTAGAGCCGAAGGATGCGGGAACAGGACCGTTCCGATATGCATTTACTCAGGGCGTTGAGATGGGTAGGAGAAATGACATTGCGGTTGAAGTTATCAAAGATGATGCGGGAGGAATCCAAACGGTTTTGCTCAGTGGTTCAGCGGTTAAGGTGATGGAAGGCTCCTTGGAGATCTAACAAGAATTCGGTCATGTGAAGGTTGAGATATTTCATACTTTGTGTTCCTCAACAGCACATTCTAATTCTTCAGAATCCAACATGGTGCTCTAAAATACTATATTTCGGCCCAATAATCTGTGTCACCCGTTACATCCCTTAGGCGAAAGATAAAAGCCTTTTTGCTTCGTACTTCTAGAACTAATCGGAACAGGAAAGAGGTATTCTACTCTAGTAACAATTTAGTATATAAGATCATACTTAATGTAACAAAACTGTCCATACCCATCTGCATGAGTTTGAATATGTTCGCTTTATTCTGAGATTTTGGGTCGGTCCCGTGCCAGTTCTACGTATACAGTTGGAACATCAATTTATCTTAAATTTTGATATCCTTAGACGGTGCCTATACTTCGGAATTCATGGCATGTCCTGGAGGATACCCATCCTTATGATAGCTAAAGACAAACACATCGCCACCAATGAGCGAACATGAATTGTACTTGCCAAGAGATATGATTATTTTGTGGGTCTTGTGCAAGGCTGACGACCCTGCCTTCCCAGCCTCCTGCTATAGATCATGTATCAACACTCAGAGCAGCATTAATTGACTAAACTTCACTTCGTGTATAACTATGCATCAACTCGTTTCCCTCCTGGCACTGGGGTCTTTAGCTGCAGCGACTGCCATCGGACAGCGTCCCTTGCCTGGTCACGTTGACTCCCAAACTCCGTTTATCAAACCCAAGCCAAAGAATCTAGTTAGCTCAGCAGCCCTCGAGGGTCATATTTCCGAGAAGAGCCTACTAGAGCGCGCGAAGGAGCTTTATAAGATTGCGGAGCTCGGAAAGGACGAGTACAACCATCCTACTCGTGTTATCGGAAGCAAAGGTTAGTCCTTATCTGAAATCTTCGCTCGTTCCAGCACCAGCTTGCTAATCAATTCACCTTTCAAATAGGACATACTGCTACTCTTGATTATATCCATAGAACAATCGCAGGCTTAGGGGACTATTACACGATTTCCAACCAAACTTTCAATGCTGTTATTGGGAATGTCTTTGAATCAAGGCTTGTCCTTGGAGATAAAGAGCCTCTGAGTGCGGTTCCTATGAGCTTGACTCCACCCACGAAGAAGAAGAACTCTGTATTTGGCCCGTTAATCCTGGTTGATAACAACGGATGCCAGGCTGCGGACTATTCTTCCAAAATTAATGGCTCGATAGCATTCATAAAGCGAGGCACTTGTGCGTTCGGTGACAAATCTGAATTAGCTGGTAAAGCTGGAGCAAGTAAGGATTCTTTTACCAGTAGTGATATATCACTGACATAAATTTTCTATAGTTGCTGCGGTCATTTATAACAACGAGAAAGGGCTTTTCGGTGGAACTCTAGGAACACCTTCTAAGTTTCACGTTGCAACTTTTGGACTTTCGCTGGAGGATGCCACTGAATATCTCGAGAAGCTGAAGGCCGGGGAAACTATTAGCTCTTCCGCCTATATCAATTCCATTGTGGAAAACGCTGCTACGACTAACATAGTTGCCCAGACTACATCTGGGGATCAAGACAACTGTGTAATGCTTGGTGCTCATTCGGATAGTGTAGCAGAGGGGCCTGGAATTAACGACGATGGATCTGGGACACTTACCTTACTCGAAATCGCTACACATTTGGCCAAGTATGAAGTCAACAATTGTGTTCGTTTTGCTTGGTGGGCCGCCGAAGAAGAGGGTCTACTCGGTTCCGATCATTACGTGAACCAGCTCTCCGAGGAAGAAAACCTGAAGATCAGATTGTTTATGGACTAGTAAGTCAACCTGAAGACCCTTGTCTTAGGACACTGCTAACACTACGTGTAGCGACATGTTGGCATCTCCAAACTATGCATATCAAATATATGATGCCAATAATATCGCAAACCCCGTAGGTTCTGAGGAGTTACGGGAACTCTACAAACAATGGTATACCGAGCATGACTTAAATTACACCATGATCCCGTTCGATGGACGAAGTGATTACGATGGATTCATTCGACATGGAATTCCTGGTGGTGGAATTGCCACTGGTGCCGAAGGGATCAAGACTGATCTAGAGCAAGAACTCTTCGGCGGAAAGGCTGGGGATTGGTTTGACCCATGGTAAGTCATGAGTTGAAACGATTTTCCTTAAATAAACGGTCGTATCTGCTTTTGGATCTTGCCTCTTTGAGTCAACGGCACCAACGCATTACTGATGGTCTACCAAAACAGCTACCATCAATTATGCGATGATATCAGTAATCTCGCTTTGGACGCGTGGGTTATCAACACGAAGGTTTGTGTTTTCCCTTATCTTTGCTTTACGGCTCTCACTGACCACATTTAGCTTGTTGCACATTCCGTCGCCACATATGCTATCTCTTTCGAGAACTTCCCTAAGCGGACCTCCATGGAAACGGCAACCCATGTACCATATCAACCCAAGTACCACGGTCTACTCGTTCTATAGAGCGAATCTACGTCGACCTTACACCATTCTTCTTTTTTGTAGATGAAGATGTGTCTGATGGCAGGCATAGAGTAGAATAGACGGAAGAAACCCGAAGCCCAATACGGGTAAATTACAAGTATAGAATTAATGAAAATATTATTTTTGTATAACTTGTTCTTTTCGTCCTTTTCTAAATGATAATTGCTATAAGATCGTTATCCCTTAGAAGGAGCCTGGGGATTTGTGTCGGGGAGCGAAGACCCGAATACCAGAGCGGCTGACGCTATGAAAAGAAAGACAGAAGGACTGAAAATCATCTACAACTCTGTGAAAACGACATACAAATACGAGCTGACTCCTTTCTTCAACAATTACGACTTACGTGGCATGTGGGAAAAGCTCA